TTTGGAGTAACTGGATGAATCTTGCAGAATCCCACAAAGAATAGTAGAGTGTTTCTTATCAGTTTTCTTAACCAGTAGTGGCAAATAGTGGAAGTCTTAGGGCCTTTCACAAATTCATTAAATACCTACTACATGTAAACTTCTGTGCTAAGATTTTTATTAGTTGAGAAAAACAGTGAATTGCAGGGGGGCACACCTGGGTTTCCCAGAGAAGGAAGTGGCAACCCACTCCAGTATTCTTGCCTGGAGAATTCCATGGACAGAGGAGCCTGGTGACCTGCAATCCATGGGGTCGCAGAGAGTCAGGCATGACTGAGCCACTAACACACACACCTGGGTTTCAGGGCCACTTCTGTGATTAGCTTATTCTGGGACCTTCCTTCGTTTCCACTGTAAACAAAGAAGTCTCGTTTGTCTATAATTCTGCGAATACTTTCCATTAAACACAGCCTTCTCCTCATTATCCAGAGACTTGCTTTTTCCACTGGACCTTCATTTTATTCATTCATCTCTTAATATGTGCTGTTGTTTCATTTGCTTGTTTGTCATTAAAAATTCTAAGCTTGATTTTACTATTCAGGTAAAACATATTTGTTGTTGGAATGACAGAAGGGCAGAAAACAGATAAGCATGACTAAAAAAATTTAAAAGCTCTAATTTGACTAACTAAAGAGAACAATTCTTAATATTTTGTTTTATATCCTCACTAATATTTTTACAGCCATTAAGTTGGTAAACCATGAACCATCTAGGGGGAGGGAGGGGATGTGGGAAGGAAGACCCTGATTTGTAGTCTTTGCTGATTTCTGTGATTTAAAGATTTCCATTGTGGCCTATTTCAAGCTACTGAGTTGTTTGAAAACTGCCTCACAAAATTCCTAACCATTTAACTGTCTCATGAGTCAGTATGAGTCAGCTGAAGCACTCCACTGTTTATGTGTATATGTGTGTGTATTCATATGTATATGTAATTTTCTTTTTATTAAAAATGGAATTTTCTATGTATTTTCCATTGTAATACATTACTCCTTTTGCTTACCAAATATGATAAAAAAAATTTTGTATGTCAGTATATGTATGTGTATACTGTCAATTTTAAGGACTGGATAATATTTCATTGAACATACATATTAGGATTTATTTAATCAGTTTTGTTTAGGGACCTTTAGAGTTTTCCCAGAACTTTGCCATTAAAAATGGTATGATTCAAATTTTTGTAGTAGCCTTTCTTTCTAAGTGAGTTAATCTATGAGAAATATCTTACAAACTGAAAGTGTTACATAAATATTACTTATATTAATTAGGTCCCATTTTTTTTGTTTAGATTATGTACATGTCTGAATGAGACAGTGGTGTGCAACTATCTTTGCATTCCCCACAGCACTTAGCAAAGTGCATCCACGTTCGTTACGTATTTGAGAATAAAGACAATGGTCAGTTTATGCTGTCTTCTAGTGCTTGTGGTCAGTGGTCCAACTGTGTCAAGTTACAAGGCCTCATACAGTCATAGATCTGAGTTTTTCCTCAGAGAAGATTCAGTTGGATCAGCTAGACTTAGCTCAAAACCTTGAACTTCATTGTTTTCAGCTAAACAAGTTGATCCACATTGTTTTTCATGTTTTCATGTAATATATTGGGGCTTTCCTTATAGCTCAGTTGCTAAGAATCTGCCTGCAACGCAGGAGACCCCAGTTCGATTCCTGGATCGGAAAGATCTGCTGGAGAAGGGATAGGCTACCCACTCCAGTATTCTTGGGCTTCGCTTGTGGCTCAGCTGGTAAAGAATGCGCCTGCACTGTGGGAGGTCTGGGTTCGATCCCTGGGTTGGGAAGATCCCCTGGAGAAGGGAAAAGGCTACCCACTCCAGTATTCTGGCCTGGAGAATCCCATGGACTAAGCAGTCCATGGGTTGCAAAGTGTCAGACACAGCTAATATATTAAAGTATCCGTGACCCCAGTGGACAAAATGTAGCAGACAATTGCCTCTCCCTCCCCATCCCTCCCCACCCCCTTGTACCTCTTTTTCTCCCAGGAACAAATGAACAAAGATAATCACAAAATATATCCACTTTGTACTCACTAAAGAAAGAAGTTCCTGCATTTCCTTTCTTATGTCAGGTTTTACTTTAGTATTTCGAATTATACATGTATTCTCATTTCCTTGGTTGCCTCCAGGTGAGAGTACAAAGTTAATAACACTCAATAAAATAAATGAAGCCATAAAATCTTCTGGCAGCATTATAAGGTTGTTATAAAAATGCACATTTGGGGGAAAATGTCCTTTAACAATTTTGAAACCTAAAGCCATGAACATTTTTTATTACTAGGAAAAAAACATTTTCCCCAATATCTTGTTATGAAAATTTTTGAACATACAGAAGACAACTTGAAAGAATTGTACAAGGAACAACCAAGTACTTGCCACCTAGATTCTACAGTTAACATTTTATTTCACATATCTCTCCATCCCTCTATCAATCCCTCAATCCACTTGTAAGTGTGTGTGTGTGTGTGTGTGTGTGTGTAAATTGTATATATCAGTACTCTTCCTCTCTTTGCTATTCATATTATTATCTATAGAAGAAAATCCAGTTTTAAAAGCCAGCTACTCTATCAGTCTAGAAAGGTGACTGGTTCAGGCTCCATCCTCGAGCAAGCTTGAAACTCCATAGATAAGACAGTTGGCAGGCTTCCAGGCATGATTGACTTTAGTCCTGTTCTGAAAGGTTTGAGAGCAGAAATAGGTAATGTGGTCTTCCAGGGGAATTTCTAGGTGGGAGGCTGCTCTGTGCTGGGGGATCTCCCAACCACAGCTGCTGTTTTAAACTGAAGTGATTTGGGGCATCTGTTGGCTCTAGGAAAAGTATATGTGCATCTATATATATAATATGTGTGTGGGGGTGGGTGTTGTATATACATGCACACTCACACACCCCCATATACTGCATTATCTCCATGACAGTGTGGCACAGTAGGTCTTATCTTTGCTTTATAATTCAGGGACAGAACTTGGGTTAAAAGACATGTCCAAGGCTGCACAGCTAATAAATGTCAGGAAGGGAAATGGAATGTTTTTCTGGAGCTCTGGAGCCTGAACCACTTCCCATGCCATTCTCTACTTGGTTTCCTTGCCTTAGTGGCCTTTGGCGTCACCTCTCAATGTGGTTCATGCTCAGGCCAGTTGGCCTGCTGGAGGGCCTCAAGAAGACTGTGTGCTCACAACTGGTCCTTAGAGAGGATGATTTTAGTGGCGGGGGTGGGGGTGGGGGAGTTGCAGTCCAGAGTAACCAAGTCAAGGCTTTGAGAATCAGGCTAAGTGAAAGTGGGGCAACTGAGAAAAGACAGGATCCTGTCTGCCTCTGATGATCATGACTTGCTGGTTTGTTTCCAGGTGTTTTGAAGTCTTCTGCATCTATTGTCAGTCAAACCACATTGAAGAACCTTATGTCAGCATCACCAAGAAGCGGCAAATGCCAAAAAATGGCCACTCAGAGGAAATTGAGAAGGAAGTGGGCCAGGCAGAGGGCAAGCTATTCACCCACCGATCTGCATTCAGCCGGGCATCGGTGATCCAGGCTTTCCTGGGCTCAGCCCCCCAGCTGACCTTGCAGCTGTATATAAGCGTCTTGCGGCAGGATGTCAGTATCGGACGAGGTATGTGTATTTTTTATTTCTGCTTGCATTTGGGAAGCGTGGAGAGCAAAACATACGGTCTCTTTTGTTTCAGGTGAAATTCATTTCTATGCACCTTCCGTCTGAAGTCTGTTAGAGTTACTAAGCTCAAAACGTAGTGAGTTAAAATAATTGCATTTCTTTTGCTTATGAATCTGCAGTTTAGGCAGCTCTCAAAAGCGCTCACTTCGGCTCCACTGTGGTTAACTGGGGTGGCTCAAAGATGGGGAGTTGGAGTCCACTGAGGGCTCATCCACTCACAGTTCTTAACGTCAGTGCTGGCTGTTGTTGCTGGGGCCTCAGATCTTCCCCACTTGGTCTCTCTATGTGGGCTAGTTTGAGCCTCATCACAGCATGATGGCTGCTTTCAAGAGCGAGTATCCTGAGAGGGAGAAAGGGCCAGGTGGAAGGGTATCCCTTTTGTGATCCGGTTTTGAAGTCATGCAACATTACTTCTGCTGCCATTTTCTTTGTTGATACAGCCAGGAACCCTGTCGAGGTTCAAGCCAAAGGGAAGAAAGGAAACTCTGACTTTTGCTGGGGAATGGCCACAGTCTAGAGGTTCTAGGCAATCCAACTTGCTGTACATAGGCTGAAAGGATGGCTGCCAGGGGCTGGGCCTCTTCAGATTGTGCCTCTGTCACTCAGCGATAGTTGTAAAGCAGCTGAGACAGTTGTAACAGCTTCTTTGTGGTGAATGAGGGCATCAGGAGTTCCTTCTTGTCTTCTTGTAGTTCTAATAGATATCTCCTCTTTAAAATAAACACACTTCTCTAACCTTTGGACTAGTCTCACATCATCAAATTGAGGGGAGGTTTTGATTAAGCCAGATTAAAAAAAAAACTGCACATGCATTGGACACAAGTGAAAACCTTCATATGAAAAGAAGAAATAATCCTTTGCAAATATTAATATTGTAAGTAAATGAAAACCAGGTATTCTGGCAAGTTTTACTATACAGATAAGCAAAAATGAGTTAAAAGCCTTAAGTTTAAAAATACATTTTTAAGATAACACTGAAATTGGAATATTTAAAAATAAATCACCCTTATTAATTTAACTTCCCTCAGTCTTCTTTCTGCCTCTAATCTAGGCTGGATGGTAAAATGTCTTTAATTTATGGCTGAGTCACAGGATATTTGTATATCACAACTGTCTCCCTTATCCAGGTTACGTAAGAGTGACTATGATTCTTAAGATATATCAGAACTTTAAGTTGAGGTCTCGGACCTTGGTGGATTAACACTTGTGAAAACACCTTCCACAGCCCCAGGTAAACAGTAGATGCTCAATAAATGCAGCAACATCCTTGTTTTCTAGGGACTTACGACTAGAATGGGCATTGACCAAGGTGAGTCCTCTGCATGCCAATATACCCTTTACCCAGTTCATTATTTTTCTATGTGGCAGGAACACAGCAAGAGACCAGATGCAGTGATAGCCAATTTGATTTTTACATGTCAATTCAATTTTTTTTCTCAAGTTACTGAAAATGAAGTTGTCTTTTAGCTCAGAGGTTGGCAAACAGCAGCCCATGGATATAATCAGGGGGTGCTTGTTTTTGTAAATAAAATTTTATTGGAATGCAGCCATGCCCTTTGATTTACCTGTTGTCTGTGTCTGCCTTTTTTTTTCCTTTGAGCAGAGTTGAGTAGTTGCATAGTTGTAGCAGAAAATAAGTGGTCCACAAAGCATAAAGTATTTATTGTCAGACTCCTTACAGAAAGTTTGCCAACCCTCATTACAGTTTTTCAGATGGAATTCTATTCGGGAAGATGAAACCTATCTCATAAAATGTCAGTGTCACAAAGAATATCTGTAACATGCCCCTTGAGAACTTGGCATAATATAAGTCCCCTGAGAATTAAACGATAAATATGTATAGAGAAAGGAAGTGGGCATGGTCCTCTTAAAAATATAGATAACTGCCATTTTTATAGGTTTTGACTAACCGTAATCACTGCCTTAGCATATCTGAGGAAGGAATCTCTCAGCCAGAAGGGGAAGGGTAGTTATAATTAGAGCACAGGCTGGGGTGTGTCATGGAGGCCAACATGGGCGGTAACTATCATATGATTAGGAATGCATTTGGTGCAAGAAACAAAACACTTGACTACAAGGTTAGACAGCCCATTATTTTGCTCATTTAAGAAGAAACTGGAGTTAGGCCTTTGCTGGCATTATATCAGCTGCTCACACTGATAAAGTTGATGTCCCTACAGTTCCATTGGCCTTTCTTTTGGGTTGCTACTGCATAGAATCCATGATGGCTTCATTCAAGGTAGGAAGAAAAGCATGAAGCAGAAGGGGGAATGTCTTTCTTCCTTTAGTTAGTTCAGTCGCTCAGTTGTGTCCAACTCTTTGCAACCCCATGGACTGCAGCACACCAGGCCTTCCTGTCCATCACCAGCTCCCAGAGTTTACTCACACTCATGTCCATAGAGTTGATGATGTCATCCAACTATCTCATCCTCTGTCGTCCCCTTCTCCTCCCGCCTTCAATCTTTCCCAGCATCAGGGTCTTTTCAAATGAGTCAGTTCTTCGCATCAGGTGGCCAAAGTATTGGAGTTTCAGCTTCAGCGTCAGTCCTTCCAATGAATATTCAGGACTGATTTCCTTTAGGATGGACTGGTTGGATCTCCTTGTAGTTCAAGGGACTCTCAAGAGTCTTCTACAACACCACAGTTCAAAAGCATCAGTTCTTCAGCACTCAGCTTTCTTTATAGGCCAACTCTCATATCCATTCATGACTACTGGAAAAACCATAGCTTTGACTAGACAGACCTTTGTTGGCAAAGTAATGTCTCTGCTTTTTAGTATGCTGTCTAGGTTGGTCATAACTTTTTTCCAAGGAACAAACATCTTTTAATTTCATGGCCGTAGTAACCATCTGCAGTGATTTTGGAGCCCAAAAAAGTTAAGTCTGTGACTGTTTCCATCGCTTCCCCATCTATTTGCCAAAAAGTGATGGGACCAGATGCCATGATCTTAGTTTTCTGAATGTAGAGTTTGTTTTTTTTTTTCTGGAAGGTAATGTTTTATTGTTGCATCTCCTAATTTACATCATGTATTTTTATTTTTTATTTTTTTATTTATTTTTTTCCATTTATTTTTATTAGTTGGAGGCTAATTACCTCACAGCATTGCAGTGGGTTTTGTCATACATTGACATGAATCAGCCATGGAGTTACATGTATTCCCCATCCCGATCCCCCCCCCACCTCCCTCTCCACCCGATTCCTCTGGGTCTTCCCAGTGCACCAGGCCCAAGCACTTGTCTCATGCATCCCACCTGGGCTGGTGATCTGTTTCACTATAGATAATATACATGCTGTTCTCTCGAAACATCACACCCTTGCCTTCTCCACAGAGTCCAAAAGTCTGTTCTGTACATCTGTGTCTCTTTTTCTGTTTTGCATATAGGGTTATCATTATCATCTTTCTAAATTCCATATATGTGTGTTAGTATGCTGTAATGTTCTTTATCTTTCTGGCTTACTTCACTTTGTATGATGGGCTCCCGTTTCATCCATCTCATTAGAACTGATTCAAATGAATTCTTTTTAACGGCTGAGTAATATTCCATGGTGTATATGTACCATAGTTTCCTCATCCATTTGTCTGCTGATGGGCATCTAGGTTGCTTCCATGTCCTGGCTATTATAAATAGTGCTTCGATGAACATTGGGGTGCACGTGTCTCTTTCAGATCTGGTTTCCTCAGTGTTTATGCCCAGAAGTGGTATTGCTGGGTCATATGGCAGTTCTATTTCCAGTTTTTTAAGAAATCTCCACACCGTTCTCCATAGTGGCTGTACTAGTTTGCATTAGTTAGTTTGCATTAGTATTGCTGGGTCATATGACAGTTCTATTTCCAGTTTTTTAAGAAATCTCCACACTGTTCTCCATAGTGGCTGTACTAGTTTGCATTAGTTTGAATGTAGAGTTTTAAGCCAACTTTTTCACTTTTCTCTTTCACTTTCATCAAGAAGCTCTTTAGTTCTTCTTTACTTTCTGCCATAAGTGTGTGGTGTCATCTACATGTCTGAGGTTGTTGATATTTCTCCCAGCAATCTTGATTCCAGCTTGTGCTTCATCCAGCCCAGCATTTCTCATGATGTACTCTGCATATAAGTTAAATAAGCAGGGTGACAATATACAGCCTTGATTTACTCCTTTCCTGATTATTAGTAAGTAAAAGCTTTCCCAGAAACCTCGCTAATAAACCTCATTTAGATCTCATTGACCAGGACTGGTCACATGGTCACCTTGGTTCAAGAAATGCTAGAGAAGCTGGGCATAGGAACAGTTACAACCAGTGGCTTTGAACAGCATTCCTTCAACTTCCCTGGTGATGATGTCACTGAAGGTGAGAGCCAGGGAGCTTGTTAAAAATCTATAGAAAACCAGGCTTCATTCTCGGAAATTGTGATTTGCTAGGTGTGGGATGGTAGCCTAAGATAGGTCTTTTGATCTTTTTTCTCTTTTGTTTTTTAAACAACTGCTCCTGGTAATTTTTATGTTTAGCAAAGTTTGGGAACACTGGACTAGATAAGTCACAGCCTGCCTAGGGCTGGGCCCATTGCCACCCACAACAAAATTATGTTTTCTTAAAATATAGGAGGAGGACACTGTCTGCCGTACCATGTGTTGAGACCAATAAAAATATCCATTCTTGACAGGAGAGGACATGAAGTCCATCCAAACCTGATCCCGTCAACATTCAAACTCTGTATAGCTTTCTTTTCTCTCTTATCCTGTGCTCACTTAGCAAATGCTGATGAATTTGACCTTGGCAGAGCTTGGAGGGGAGGGGGAGCCAGCCACCTGGTCCACTGGAGAGGTTTTTGTTAATTGCAGTACAATTCATACAATAAGTTAACCATTTTAAATGTACAACTTAGTGGATTTTAGGATATTCACTATGTTGTGTCATCATCATCACTATCTAATTTTAGAATATTTTCAATACATCGAAAAGAAATCCCATACTTGGTAGCAGTCACTCCTCGTTTCCCCTCTCCAGACCCTGGCAATCACTACTCTACTTTCTGTCTCTATGAATTTGCCTATTGTGCATACTTCATATAAATGGTATACTTTTGGAGAGTTTCTTCCCCCATAGTCAATGAATCATGGACACTGTGTATGACCCTCAGCCTTTGAGTGAGACCAGTCGGCTCTGAGGGGACTTGATTGAGTCTCTGGACCTTGGAGGGCAGGTTGGTCTGAGGCCCAGGTGAGTACACCAAGGCTACTGTGTTCTGTGAAGGCCCCTGCAGCCTGCCGTTTGGCCTGCCTGGATCTCTAAGTGCCCTTCTCTCTTCCAGTCAAGGTGGTAATGTTGGCAGTAATGATGACTGCTTCTCAGATCCTTGCTTTGTGCCAGGCACTGCGATTGGCATGATTTTGTTTCACGTTCACAGCGTCCCTGTGAGGTAGATCTGATTACTTCCATCTTCTTAAGGATGGAAATTGTACTCCTAGTCTACCAGAGGAGGCAGGACATAGGGTTAGATTTATGTGAATTCACTCATTGAAGTCAATGAATATGTATTGAATGTGTTCTGTGTTCCTGACCTTGTGTTGGGCTCCAAGGATGAAGTGGTGAATAAGGTGGACAGGGCTGTATCCTTCTGGAACAGGATAGGCAAATAGGAAACAAGTAATTAGTCATATATTTATTTTATTTCAGGTAAATCCTGCAAAGTAAAAGTCTGTTGGGGGACTCTAACCAAGTCTGGAAGATAAGGGAAAATTTCCCCGGGGAACTTAAGTGTAAACCAAAATCTGGTAGATGAATCAAGTGAAGTAAAAGAAGAAAAGGGCATCCCAGGATTTCAGACTTTATCCCAGAGGCACTAGGAAGTCACTGATGAGTTTTAAACGTCACAGTGTCATGATTAGATTTTATTTTAGAAGCTGATTACTGTGGAAAATGGATTGAAAGGGAGTGAGGGGAGAAACAAGGAAGCCCAGAAGTGGGCTGCTACAGTTGTCAAGTTGAGAACAATAATGACTTAGGCTGTAATAGTAGAAATGGGTTATTGGAGCAATATTACTGATGTAGAAGTTGAACAAGGTGATGCCTGATTGAATGCGAAGGTGGGACAAAGGCAGATGTCAGACATAGTTCCCCAATTCCTGACATATATTGTTGATTTATACCCTGCCTCATTCCAAAAATGGACTTGGCGACAGGGCTTATTAGTTAGTGCTATGATACTGTCTGTGGAATATACCCTTCTGTCTGCTCTTGTGGAAACTGGTAAATTAAATGGTAATATTATATAAACTTATCATCTGGACTAAAACATGCAATTCAAGCAGTTCATATGATTACTAAAGATT